AAAAAAGAAGCAAAAGCAAATAAATAAAGAATGGGAGTTAGGCTTACTCGGTCATGTTTATCGTATTTTACATTTTGAGTAGACCGTATTTAGCTTTTTGCACGTGTATGTAGGAAAAAGGAAGTTTAGATCGAGAAAATCATGTGTAGGATGACTTGGGTTTGAGTTTGATTCCATGGATTACCGGATGAAAATGAGAGTCTCATTTTCGCATGATTGTTAACTTTGAACCATTCGATATTTCTTTTCGAATTGCTTGCTATTTTGTTTGCTTGAGGACAAGCAAAGAGCTAAGTGTGGGGGAGTTGTTTGTTATGTTTTTGTGTGTTTTTCTTGTGTTTTATTTGCTTGAGTCGAGTCGTTTTAGGTTTGATTTGTGTCCCGGTCCATTTTTGTTCGTTTTTCGTAGTTTTTAGTTTTTAGTCGTGTTCATATATTTTTCCTATCTCTTTTGTGCGTTTTTGGTGTTTTTGTAGGTTCGAAAGGAAGATGTAGTCATTTCGTGATGTGCCGTCTCGAGTGCTAATTCAATTGGTGTGTCTTCCATGTCGAGGAGGAAAAGGATTGAGGAGTGTGAGTCGAAGTTTGGAGTCGATCGGAGGCCCGTGGAATTAATTAGAGCTTTTCAAGTCGAGCCATAGCCACTTTCAATTTGAAGATTCGAGCCCTCGAAGTTCCTATGCCCGCGAATCCCCATATATGCGCTGCTCGCGAGTTTTGACGTTCGAGCCCTCGAAATTCTTTTCAGTCGCGAGTCCCAGTTACAACATGCCTTGCCCGCGAGTTTCTGATTTCGAGCCCTCGAAATTGCTCCACCTCGCGAGTCCTNTCAAACCTTTAGATCCGCTGCGCATAGGTTTACGTTTGCTATTGAATTCGTGATTTGTACATAACGAGATCCTCACAGATCCCAACATCCGCGACCCGCGGAAATTTCCGCCAGCTCGAGAGTGTCCCTTAGTTAATGTGCGTGAAATTCAGTGCGTGTTTTGGGGTAGACTATAGATACATTTTGGCTCTTTGTAATTGACACACTAGATTTCATTTGTCACTTTTCCACTTTAGGAATTAAGCTTTTATTTTTAGTTTTCTCTCTTCTCTCTCTTGGGAGCTCTATGACATCATTTTCCGGCGGATTTTCCGGCGAGTTTTATTTTGTTCAAGTTCCGAGCTTTTGACTCTGATTTTCGTCTAGCACGCAATAGAAGATTAAGTATTTACTTTTAAAGCTCATTACTTCAATTTTTGCCTCGTTTTTACTTATGAAATTTTTCAAGGTGAATTTGAGTGTTTGCTTGATGATGGAGGAAATGCTTGGACTTGCTCATTGCTCATGCTTGTTTAAGTAGGGACTAATTGCTTGTCTGTCTAGATTAAAGGTTAGGACTCTATTTAGAGCTTAATCACTTAGGTTAGAAGGTTGGGATTAGTGACCTAGTGTTAGAACTTGCATACTTCTCGTTGTTGATTTCATTTGATGTTGATGGCTTAGAGACTCCGGTAGTGTTAATTGTTTAATTCTCTAGTTCACTTGTTGCCTTTCAATTCTGAGCATCGATTAGCATTAATTCACTCTCCAACCCATTGATTAGCATGTTTAGCTTTTATTTTCTCATTTTGTGTGATTTGGACAATTGAGTGGTGAACAAAGCTCTGAACCGTCTTCTTTTGAGAACGACTCGAGGTCGGGTAGCTCGGTTACCAACTACCCTCAAAATACTACAAAACATGTCCTCTGGTCGATCCATTGACCCATTACGTCTTCAGGTCGAGTCTCAACCAAGCCATCTAAGGCCCATAACTCGACTTATCGGTGTCCCTTTGAACCGGCAACGTCCTCCTCGACCTGAGGACTTATTGTTCTGTAGCCATGTTCGACCTCTGTTCGGCCTACATGTGCTTCTGTTCGACCAACCGGTTCACTCAACCCAACCGACTGGTTTATGGGAATTACTGTGCCCAGTGTGGTATCCCATATCAGAGACGGTTATGTCGACCAAACATTTGGACTGATTGGTCTGACAAGCGACAGAGATTTGAATTTCAAAACTTGAATTCAAGACCTCAGGCAGGGGTAGAAAACATTGCTTCAGAATTGAAGGAAGCTTGAACAACATGGTCGGATGACTGAGTTCGTAACTCACCAAGCAGGACCAAAGGCAGAAATCTACTCTTAGATCGAGTTATCTTCACTCGACCAGAGTGGGGTGGACCTGATGATAAGGGATTCCATACTGGGTCGACTAGACCCGAGAAACTAGCCAGCAGAATCGAGTGAACAAGTAGGTTGACCGATGCTATATATCGAACGGAGTCCTCAAGTTGACTAGAATTGCATGAAGAGGTATCGCTGACAGGTCGAGCTAGGGCCCTAGGATGGCCTAATGGAAACTCGACCTGGAGGTATGTTGGTCGAAGGATCGACCTAGGAGACCATGAGCCCAGTCGAGAAGATGATCTGCCTCTTGAGAGGTCGTTGCACACCATTTTAGCCAGTCGTATGGTTAGACTGTCTAAATATGGAAGACTAAAGGATAAGAAGAAATATTATTAAGATACAAACCACATGTGGATAAGGCCATTTGGCCTAACAGAATTAGGCAGTTCAGGTAGTACAAACAGGTAGTTGGCGCAGCTCATCCAGACAGTCTTGGGCAACAAGGTTATACCCTATATAAAATAGTGAGGTATGTCCATTTGTACTCTACACACTCCATATACTTACAGAATTTTATATCTACTTTTTGTTGTCTTTATCACTGTGGACTGACTTATTGTTGGAGTGATAATGCTTCGAACCACTCCCGATAGATTCGGGTCTTGCAAGGTAGATTGAGGTCGTTGCATACTAAATTTAATATCACATAAAAATATATATCATGTAGTATGTATCGTTCGCGCACTTTACTAGTTTACTAAAGTTTCAAAACACTGAGTCATGTCTCACGTCCTAGTACATTGTAACAAAAAATAAAACTAGTAAAGCAAAAACAAATTAAGCATCTTTTACATTATTAAAGCCCAAACTTTAGCTTAAAAGGCAAAATTAGTCAACACAAAATGCGAAAAAATCTACCCACGTCTAATGAATTGCCCACCACAAATTTCTACTTGAAAAAGGGACAAAGGAATTACAAAGCCAAATAAGTTCACTGTTACAATGCCCATTACTAAAATTGAGCAATTACACACTTGTAGAGTAGCATTATTAATAGAAACTTTCACGACCAATCCAAGCTAAAATAACCATTTGCGATTGGTTTGAAGTGAGGTTAACATACAATTTAACCCCTACAATAAAACAAAAAAATGATACTTGAATTTTATGTGTCCATTTCCAAACTAACTGAAGTTCAGCAAAGTACCATCACTTACAGCTAGCAGACCTTGTGGGTTATTAGACAATGGTGTAAATAGGATTTGACTGACCAAATCGATCGAAAAACGTAAGCCCGTCGAGACTTTAGATAAAGCATTAATTTCAAACCTTCGATCCTTCTATCTGGAACTCGAACCCAAGAACCCTAATTGCTCGGCCAAGACATCAACGCCCTCGAACCGACCAAAAGTCCCAATCCCATCATCAATCCCATCATTGATCAACCCATCCCAAAACTTATCATCGCCAAACGAATCTTCCCCAACATTATTCATCATCTTTCCTTGTTCGTGGCTATCACTCAAAACTCCTTCCCCAATCTTATTTTCGATCAAGGGTTCTTCCAAGTTCGTCCCAAATCCACAAACGCCATCACCAACTTCTTGAGGTTCCATCTTAACATAAACATTCTCGACATCATCGACAAAGCCACTTTCTCCCCCAACTTGGCCTAATTCTTGAAAATTACCAACAATATCATCGTTTGTACCCAAATAAACATCAAAATCCCGAATACTATTATTTCCCAAACCAAGATCGATTTTCTTCCTTCTCTTCTTCCCGATGTCCTCCTCGATCTCCTTCCTCCAGTCATTTTGCTGCACGATTTGCTGCAAAAAAGTCGGATTCTTTAACACCCTCGCCAAGAAACTCATCGTGTGTTGTTGCTTAAGCTCGGTCCCTCTAAGCCTTTGCTCCATCGCACTCAAATGGTGTTTGGTGTTTTGTTGTTGTTGTCGGAGTTTTACTAACTCCGCCATTAGGACGTGTTTGTCGCGCCTCAAACGGTCGATTTCGGCATCCAAGGATCCGTACATTCCGACCTCGACACAAGATTCGGAATTTGCACTTTGTTTGGAAGAAGTAATTGGTTGTGGATTAATATTTGGTGGATTGTGTTTTCTCCTCCTAATGTGTTTTAGGAGATGCTTTTGCCCCCTCAAAAACCCTTCATTTGCAAACTCCCATCTGTCAGGATCAACTTTCCTGAAGCCCTGCACAAAGTTCACACTCTCTACCACTTAAAATCAAAGTAGGTGATTTATATTAAGCACAAAATATAAGAAAATACAAAGTTAGCATATTTTATTTAATTTACCTATTTCATCAGGAATAAAAGAAAAACCCAGAAATATACACCAAATTAGAAACCTATTCATTTACTTAAATTATTTATATGCTTAAAAATCAAATCAGACACATAACTAAAAAATCCCTCCCCCGCTCTTCAACTCTAATGAAATGAAAGCATTTGCAAACACCAAATTAATAGGCAAATTTTCCAACTAAAATCTGCTGATCACTTTTTTCTCTCTCTCGCTCTCTCTCTCTCTCTCTCTCTAGCCTAGGTATAAAGTAAACTCCCTTATAATTTATATCAAAATTATAACAACTAGTCCAAGAAAATGGTTTACACATATATAAATTTATAATCATTATAAACTGAACTATAGAAAGAAGAAAGAATCTTACATAAGTATTGAGCTGCCTGACAAAACTGGAGAAATTGTTGTGCTTGAAGTACCTTGGAAGGAGATTCATAGCAAAAGACTGAGGATCCCAAACAATGAAGCTGTTGTTACCTCTGCCCCAAGAAACTATCTCATTAGTTGTCTCATCTTCTACCAATTCATATGTCTTGTTCAAGAATGGTGTTGGCCCTGCCTCATTTAAACCCTCCAAAGGCTGAGGAGATATCATCATACTATTACTATTACAATTTCCTATCTTATTATCATTATTATTCATATCTCTCTTTTTTCTTGCATAAACATAAACAACAAGGACAAAACAGAATGTGGCCCTAGCTAGTAGGGTGGAAAAAGAAAAGTGAAAAAAAAAAAAAAATGGAAAATTATGCCCACAAATCAATTGTCTATTTCTTCAACAAGATTAGCAGTATATGCAAGCAAAATAATATTTTTGGCCAATAAGGGAAATCTGGAAAAAGGGATTTGCAAAGAGAGATCTTGAAATAACAAAGGATGCAGTGGAATGAATGAGGGGGCAGAGAGGAGAAATTGTTTTTGGAAATAATAAAAATGGGAACAAAGAAGAAGTAAAACATCATGCTGGTTGTGACGTGTTAGCTATGAACAGTGTTTGAATATTTTATTATGAGAGTTCACAAGTAGAGTAGTAGACATTACAAGAAAATAAATTTTTAAATACAATACACTGTTTGAAATCTGGACAGGTGGAAAGTGGAGTAAGAAAGGGTAAAAAACGGGGGTGAGATATTTTTTGAAGGCTCCCCAATTCTTTCTCCTTTTGGGAAGGGCATTGCTTATTTTTATTTGGAAATAAAAACATAATAATGGAAAATTAGATAAATAAATATTGGACAACAGTCATCTCTGCAGTCGCTGTCATGTTATGCATCACAAGATCTTACTATTTACATTTAAAATAACATACATCACTTATACGGTGATCTTGTATTATAATATTATTTACATTTAACAACTTTGTAGTTAAATTGATTTAAATAATTTTATTTTTTAATTAATATTTTTTATTATAAAAATAAATATAACTATTTATTTATTTTGTATGTACAATGTAGATGTCAAATCGAAGTTCATCAAGACATTATTAATTTGATATATTATGTATAAAAAATTGATAACAAATAAGAAATTTTATTAACTTTGAAATATACTTGTAATTTAAGTTAGTATTTTTCATAATTTTATAAAAAGATGAGGAAAAAATAAAGATTGAGAAAAAAAATTATGCCTTATCAATCATGTCTAGAATAGAAAATGTAATATTAATGCTCTTCAAAATGAACATAAATATCTACTATGTTTATGACTACTAGTATGTAACTCATACGATGCACGGGTTGTATTTATTTTGGATAATATTAAAATTGAAATATATTAATAAATAAAAGAGTGACAATTCGTAGGGAAATTGTCAAATAATAAAATGTTCCTCATGAAAAAAAATATATTATTTAGAACTTCATTGTACACAAACTAATATTTTCAACCATTTTTTATTATTTATACGCGAAAAAAACAACACAATTGTCTATGACTAAAAATCGATTTCTTTAAGAACGTGCATGGACAGGTCATCCGACTCGTTATACGAGAATTCGCTCATTAGAGCATATACAATGCATTGGGTCTAGTATTGTTTATGTGGCATGTAAATAAACCCAAGTCTTGAATGACATGGATAAAACTATGTAAAATTGATAAAATCCACTTCAATGCAAAGAGATTAGGTCTCCATTTGGGTCTAAAATAGACCTAAGAGCACCCACAATGCTTTGGGTCTCTTAACAAAAAATCACATGCCACATGGGAAATAGACTTAGTCTATAAAAAAATACTTCCCAATGCAATTAAAAGTGGACATGGTCTAGCTTATGTGGCAATGAAAAAAAGAGACCAAGTCCACACTTTGGTCTATTTTGGACCCAAGTACAAACTCAAACACTCATCATTTGTTCTTAATTTAATTTCTTTTTAATGAATAAATTATATTAGAGCATTTCTATTGGTTGGCATGTATGGTAGACCTAATCTTTTTAGTTTTGCATTGCAAGGTTTTTGAGTTTTTTTTACTTAGGTTTGTCCATGTCATTTAAAACTCAAGTCCAATTATATGCCACATATACAAAAAGAAACCCAAAGCATTGTGGATGCTCTAAATGTAGACCGGGTCTCTTTTTCTGACTGCCACATCAGCAGGACCCAATCTACTTTTATTTGCATTAGAGAATACATTTTTTAGACTAATTCTATTTCTTAAGTGGCATCTAATTTTTTATGATTGAACCCAAAGTATTGTGAATACTCTTAGGACAGAGGAATCGCCAGATGTCGTCCACCTGACTCACCTGACGACCTCCGAATCCATATAAGATCTTCTAGCCCAATTTCATTTATGTTGTTTCTCATATGGAGTTCATATGCCAAATCATGTTTTATTGTTGGAAAAGGTAATGATGTACAGTTTAATATATGAAGTGTCGGATATGGACAAAAATGGTGTAATGTGTAGTTCAATATCTTGTTCTAAACTTCAGTTTCAATTGAGTTTTTTTAGGCAGTCAGACAAATATTAGTTGTTAGTTTATCATTTTAATATCATTATATTTGATTAGTTAAATAATATTTCCTAATATTTTTATACTTTTTTATACAAAAAGATTGACCTTGACTGTTAAATGGAACCCTAAAATTAAAAGGAACTGGTGCCGCCGGAACTTAAATAGAAGCCTAACATGGATCTATTTATAATATGATAATTTATATGGCAGTTCGACAAATGACTTGTTAGTTTATCATTTTAATATTGATTATACTTTATTAACTAAATAATATTCACTAATATTTTTATAGGTTTTTTTATCTTGTTTAAAAGAACATTAAACATGTATGTTTAAAATATTAAAAGCACCTCAATTGTTATATAACATATGTAAAATTATCTAAAATATTCTATATTATTCTTGAAAAATGTAAGGTCACCTAAATTTTTCTAAATTATTTTATATGTAAAACATGTCAAAAAAAAAAGTTCAACACACACACATATATACACAACATGTTTAACTTATAGATACAATATGAGTGCGAAATTGAAGCTTGTAAAACAAAGGTTGATTAATATTATATATATACAAACTGAATAATATGCAACAATGTTTCAAAGTTTTTAAAAAAGAGACGGAAGTAAAAAAAAACTTACAACGATATGAAAACTAACGGAATCCATATAAATTGGTCGTCAACTATTCAATTATATATATATCGTTGTAACGGAAAACTAACGGAAAATAAATCAATGTTTCAATGTTTCGATTTCTTTTTTATATACCAAAAATAATTGAAAGAATCCATATAAATTGGTCGTCAACTATTCTACAATTAAACAAATCTATATATTAACCAATATTTTTATTATTGGTTATACCAAAAAGCAAATCTATATTTATAGATTATACCAAAAAGCAAATCATACGAATCTAGTTATACAAATCAATTGAAAGAACCCATAGACACAAATTTCGTTTATTTGCAGATTTATATTATTATATTATTAAATTATTTGAAATGTATAAACACCCGGTATTTGATTACATAAAAAAACTGAAATTGCATCCATCAACTATTAAATCAGTTGATTCCATATCATTGACAATTAATGCGTCGATATTTGCTAGCCTGAATTGTCAAAAAATACTATAATTAGGCTATAATTAATGCATGGTGGGAAAAGATTGTTAAAAATAATTTAAGTTAATTTTTATTATATATATAGATTCTAAACCTAATTATTTTTAGTTGAGAGTCAATTAAATTTCATTCAAACCAAATGACAAAGTATAAAAATTTGACACATAAGACTTCGAAGCATAGCACATTCTGCAATTTTATATAGGGGATTGTGGATACTTAATTTGGACATGAGACATAAATAATTAACTAAATGGACATATAAGTTAAGTGAATATATGAAATTTCATGAATGGGAGAGCATATAAGATTCTCTTTTTCGAAAAATTCTGTCTCGTTCAAAAATTAAATGGAAAGTAAAATGTTGTCCAATGAAAAATAAAATAAATTTAAGATTATGAATAAATATAAATTCAATAATTAAAATTAATATTCCAGATAAGTAGTAAAATATTAATTTAATTAGATATAGGTGAATAATTAGCCGTACTTTTCTAAAATATATAAGAATAATTAATTTTTATTTAATTATATCAGTGAAATTTGTGAAAAAAGATATTGGATGAAATGAATAATTATTTTATTTTTATTTTTTTGCTTTATTTTTATTTCAAGGCAATTTGATTAATAAGAGGAAAAAATAATAATCTTACATCAATCGTAGCTTAAATTTCAACCTCAAGATCAATAACTTAGGGGGCCATTGTATACAAATTCTAAAAAAAACCAATCAAAACTCAAATTTAACTCAACTCCACTATCTCCAATATTATCAATATAATTAAATAATATCAACCAATCATTCTTACACATCACATCAACTTTAATTCACTATTCATCTACTCACATAATTTTAATTATCACTTCCAATCATTTTCTCATACTTTTACATCAAATCAACTTTAATTATTTTATTTTAAATATTATTTTAATATATCCACTAACAACTAACCATACTACTTTTTTTTCAAATTTAACTATAATTAGAAAAATAACTAATTTTTTACTAATTGAATTCATATTCAATCACCCCCTTATATTTTCAAGTTAAATCCACAGACACCAAGTTATTGCGAAGTGGAATTGAATAGGTTCAGATTTTATATTCGTCCATCACAAGTTCACAAATCATAACAACTATATTTACTTATTTATTTATTTTTCTTTTTTCCTTTAATAAATCTTGTAATTTTTTTATATGGTGGATAACCCTAGTTGCTAGCCACGCCATATTGTAGATCTAATGATGCAATAATACTATGGTTCGGCATTGATAATGATCATAGAACTCCAAAACGACATTATTGGCTTATTTCGCAAAAATATCTTTGGCTGTTAGGCAAAAGATTCGAAAAAAAAGGCGTTACTATTCACCGTCCCCCCTTTTACTACTCACCGCCCCCCTTGGACAATTTTGCCCTTCTCATTTTTTCTAAACATATCAGACAATTTATGAAAAAATACGTGTCCGGCCGCCGGTTCCGGACAGCTTAAAGCCCGTCCGGAACCGGCGTCCGGACGGCTTAAAGACCGTCCGGAACCGGCGTCCGGACGGTTCAAAGACCGTCCGGAACCGGCGTCCGGACGGTTCAAAGACCGTCCGGAAAGCATGGCCGGTCGGACCGGCCGTGTCCGGACAGGCCGGCCGGACGGCAAGAAAGCCGTCCGGAACCGACGGCCGGTCGGAACCGGTCCGTCCGGTTCGGCCGGCCGGCCGGCAATTTTTTTTAAATTAATTATAATAATTTTCTAACTAATTAATTGTATGGTTCCTCTAAATTACAAAATAATTATACCGTAGTTGAGGAGCAGACCGATAATACTTTTCTAACAGTACCGATAATTTGTTATGATTAAATGAAAATAATTTATATTAA